ATTAAAACTATTAATATTATTAATAGTTAAAAATATTATTAATTTAAAAACTAAGTAATATTAAAAATAGAAAAAAAAGAATTTGATAGCTTTTCAGTTAAAAATAATATTGTCTTAGTTCAAAAATTATATGGTTATACTATTCAAAATAATGACAGGTTAAAACATTTAAATTATTTTTACCCATCAATTAAATTCACATANTGGTTATACTATTCAAAATAATGACAGGTTAAAACATTTAAATTATTTTTACCCATCAATTAAATTCACATATGAACAAGAAGTAGAGGGAAATTTTTTTTTTTTTTTATTTATTAGTTAAAAGAACAGATGGGGAACTAAATTTGTAAATTTATCGGAAAAATATGCACACGTTCAGGTACATTTTGAACAAATCGAATCTCACCTGACAACACAAATTGCCAGCTTTTAATAGTATGATTTACAGATTAATTAACATTCCGATGAATAAAATAGATTTCGATAAAGAACTGGTGGTTATAAAAGAAATAGCTAGATTTAATGGGTATAACGAAAACATAATTTCAAAATTAGTCCGAACACAAAAGTGGAATAAAGAAAGGAGGGCAACTAGTACACTCACTAGCGTAGGGGAACAAAAAGTAATTAGGTCACCCATTTTATATTATCTAGGCATCTCAAATGGACTAGCTAGAATATTTAAGAATTTTGGTATTATTTTAATAACATTTCAGAGTAATAATTTAAGTGATTTATTATGTAACCCTAAAGATAAGGTAAAAGAAGGGGGGAAATCAGGCATTTATAAAATACAATGTGAAAGTTGTAATAAATGTTACGTAGGACAAACAAAAAGAAATATAGGTTCAGGTTTAAAAAGCACTTAAGAAACATTAAAAATCAAGAAGTTGAGAAATCTTCAGTGGCTAAACATTTATTGACATATAATCACTCCATTAAAATCATAAAACTAATAAAAAATGTAAATAATTACAAAGAACTTAATATTAGGGAGGCAATAGAAATCTTTAAAAATAAAAACAATTTAATTAATTGGGATCTTGGCCCATTGAAAATTTCATTATTAAACTTGTGTAAACTGGCAAAATGTGATAATATTATTTAGTGATGATGTCACTAAGTGATAAGGTCACTAGGGTATATAAGGGAGTTTTTCTAGTTGGAGTGTCAGTATATGTTTAGCGTTGATAATGTTAACATTGTTTCCTAAATACATAACCGCGACTTTTCAGTAATTTTTTTTGTGGCTTTTGAGTTTAATTTTATTTATTTAACTTACTTATTGAAATTTATAATTATTCTTTCAATGTAAATTTTAGAAATGTTCGTTGATAATGGTGTTGTTGAAATCTTGTGTCAACTAATTGTGAACATAGAAAATTTGGACGAACACCATCATGATTTGTTTTTATCTTCTTTAAACCAATTACTTCGTATGTCACCTGTTAAAGTGAAGGAGATATGTGGAAAAGTTGAAAATTTAAATCAATCATTGTGCAAACTTCGGGATTCTTATCCTGATGATCCAGCACATCAGGTAGGTTATTAAACATGAAATTTAACTTTGAGATTTCATTTTTTTTTTAATTTCAAATTTTTATAAAGGAATCTTTGATAAAAATAAATTTTTAAACGGGAAATTTTTTAAATACCTAAAATGAATTATTTATAACTTTGTTTATAAAATTTTATTAATGTATTTTTAATCAATTAAAATGTATCAATGTATTTTCAGGAGGATAAAGATCAAATTCTGTGGCTATTGGAAACTCTTACTCTATGAATAAGAATATTGTTTAAAAATTCACTCATTTGTAATTATTTAATAAAAAATAAAATAATTAATAATTAAAATTGACATTTACATTTACATTTATCAATGATATTATGCCAGCCTTTAAATGATCTATATATATAATTAGTTTTCCATAATGCATTTAAAATGTCTTTAATGCTTTATGACTAAATTGGTTCAATTATTTTTAATAACAGATAATTAAATAAATTTTTTTTTTATCGAAGATAAATAATTTAAATTAATAATTTAAATAAGATTGTGTAGTGATCTTGAGTTTTAATAGTATTGAGTAAATGGTGTTAAATATTTCTTAAGATTTTATAATTTACATTCGTGGTTTATTATGCAATAGATTGTTTATGGTTTGAAAACATAAATTAAATTTGTACATACCTTATATTATATATCGGATAATAATATTTTAAGTAAACCAACCTAGAATCTGTTGAGACTATATAGAATACTAGCTATAACGTTGCCAATAATTCTGATTCCCAGTTATCATTTGGTCTACAGCTACGTATACTGCGACTAATAACCATACCTAAAACCTTCTGATACTCCTCCTACGCTTTTTACCTTGGTACAAGTGTTATTATACATATATTTTATTATATATTAATAACCTCTTCGGGACTTCTTGTCTCATTAATACCCCCCACTTTAGAACCTCTCTAGGTACTCTATCTCTCTTAGGAGAACTCTCCTAATCTCGAAATACCATACACAGCTTTCTCCTTTTTTCCTTAAACTTTTCTATAAGTTGCCTCACACAAAATACTGGCTTTATTGTTGACCTACCAGGCATAAATCCAAACTGATTTTTAGATATAGATATCTCATTTTTATTCTCTTATCTATTACCTTTTCTCAAATTTTCATACTCTGACTCATAAGCTTTATGCCTCTATAATTTCCACACTCCTGTATGTCTCTTATACCTTTAAATATCGGCATCACAATACTATTCCTCCAGTTATTTGAAATTTTCCCTTCTAATAAGATTTTATTTAAAAGTTCCTTCAACAACATTATGCCAACATCGCCCAATATTTTCCATACTTCTACTGGCACTTCATCTGGTACTATCAGTACTATCTACCAGTCACTTATTCGACGAGATATCCTTTAATGTCTCTTTTGGGTACTCCTCATTCAGTAATTTTTCAAAATACTCTTTACAGATTTTTTTCACATCATAATCACTCAAGAGTACCTTATTATCAACAATTTTTATACACCTTACATAATGATAATCTTTAGATCTTTTCTCTCTTATCTTTGCAAGTTTATAGATTTCCTTCTCACCTTCCTTTGTTCCTAGCCTATCATACAACTCATTATACATATACATCGTATATACTAATATTATGAAATATTTTGAGTCTAGTTTTACCTTTGATTTTGTCCACTGACTTGTTGTTGAATTTCATTTTAAACTAGATTTTTTATATATATATATATGTAAATATTCGTTTTTACTAATCTCAAAAATTAAAGGTGATAGAATAAAACTTATTGCTGATTTAAAATCTGTACAAAAATTATTTTAAAAAAAACCCAGCACAGGGGGGTCGCGGCAAAGTGATGCCATGGTATAGTTGGATCAAGTATAATGATATCTGACAGTGATTAAAATCACTATCAAAAATAAACGCTTCGATGCAAATCTTTAGATAGTGTTTAATTTTAAAAAAATTGGTGTTTTATTCCAAAAGCTACTTGATCTGCTGATTCCTTATTAATATCTCGATTAAGATAAAGTATGTCGAATGAAAAAGGGTTTATTAAAAAATATTATTTCTCATAAAAAAATTGTGTGGATCCATAAACTTTTCAATAAGTTATAGCATTATAAAGTTAAATATAATATAAATAATAAAATCGAGAATTTTCACACAAAAATAGCATTCGGTAGCCATTTTCACCATGAAGACAAGTCCAGAGGTCAAATTTTTTTTTTTCACATTAAAGTATATTACATTAGCTTTAATTTAAGATATATATAAAAGTGTCAGACCTTCCGGAACATTTTCAAAAGTTATGTTGAAAAAGTAAATTTGTTGTGATAAAGTTGTCATTTTAAATCCCCCCCTGTGGGCTGGTTAAGTGTCAGATTTACAAAAAAAATATACCAAATGAGAGGTAAAGACATCAAGCATCTATATAAAAAAAAATTATATTGATATGTTCATTTTTGAAAAAGTTACGGCATTATTAAGTTAAGAATATAAAAAAAAATTATTTTACAAAAATCGTAATTTTTTATTAACTTTGATATCAACTTTCACCACGAAGACAAGTCCAGAGGTCAAATTTTTTTTTTTCAAATTAAAGTATATTACATTAGCTTTAATTTAAGATATATATAAAAGTGTCAGACCTTCCGGAACATTTTCAAAAGTTATGTTGAAAAAGTTAATTTTTTGTGAAAAAGTTGTCATTTTAAATCCCCCCCTGTGGGCAGGTTAAGTGTCAGATTTACAAAAAAAATATACCAAATGATAAGTAAAGACATCAAGCATCTATATAAAAAAAAATTATATTGATATGTTCATTTTTGAAAAAGTTAGAGCATTATTAAGTTAAAAATATAAAAAAAAATTATTTTACAAAAATCGTAATTTTTTATTAACTTTGATGTCAACTTTCACCACGAAGACAAGTCCAGAGGTCAAATTTTTTTTTTTCAAATTAAAGTATATTACATTAGCTTTAATTTAAGATATATATAAAAGTGTCAGACCTTCCGGAACATTTTCAAAAGTTAAGTTGAAAAGTTAAATTTTTTGTGAAAAAGTTGTCATTTTAAATCCCCCCCTGTGGGCAGGTTAAGTGTCAAATTTACAAAAAAAATATACCAAAT